CTATACCTTCTTCATAATTTACAAAACTATCTGTTATGCAAGAGGCTTTTTGCAAATTCAAAATAAAAATAAACAAACTCACAAGGAAATTAGAGCTATAATTACTAATGCACTTCAAAAAAGACTTATATTACTACCACAAGACCCTAGTGAAAACCAGAACATATTAAAGCCATCTTATAATTTACACTTTCAATTACACAAAGATCATATACAAGGACTACTGTTAATAGACTAAGAAAAATCTTCAAGTTCAACAAATTAACAGACAACTATTTTGCAAAACTTTCTATATTATCTAAAAGATATCAAGAACTTCTTTCTTAACTATAAACCTACTTTTCAATATCAAACAGATAATTATTACAATACCTTTCATACTACAGATGCAAACTTGCAGACTATTATACTTTTACTATAATTTCAACCTCCTACTTTTAGCTTTCACCATTCAAAAAACCATTGCCTACCATATATAAGAAACTAAACTATAAAGTCAAAGGTCTTTTTTTCTTTAACTTATCCATATTCAAAGTACTATTAGCTGAAGCTATAGCACAATTAAGAGAATACTACATGTTTAAACTACTTTCTAATAATTATTTCATTATCAAATCATCCTTGCCAACTAAAACTAAACTTATCCATACAGATTCACATTTTACTTATCTAATAACTTATAATACAACAGCAAAAACATTTCTTAAAGAAATTTCTCAATATTATTAGGTTCAATTTCTATTACTTGATCATATAATGCAAGCAAACCCTACAGACAAACCAGTTCTACCAACTGATAGTCAAGAACTTGCTAAACTTAATATTATACTACCAATTTTAACATTTTAACAACTTACTCAAATTGAAAAAACACTTTGACAGCACTTTTACTTTAAACAACTATCATTATCTTGGATTAATATTATAAACCCTCTTATTTAAATTACAGATTAAGCAAACAAAACTGATGCTAATAAAACAGAATCAACAAAACTAGTACTTCCACTTATACCAGATAATATTGAAAATATCAACTTAGCATTATTGCTAAACAACATGCAACTTACACTTCCAATAATTTTACAAACACAAATTATACTAACAATACAAAGTTTTAAACAAATATACATAATTAAAACAATTCCTAACTCTTTACTCAACCTACCACCATTGCCTACTTCTACTTGGGAAATATTTAACCTTCTTACTATATTATCTAATCAGTTATCCACAATAAACATAATAGCCATGGATATCTTCTAATAATATGTCAACACACAATCCTAATTAGCAAACCAATATACACACACAACAGCATATAACTATTGCAACACATAATATCCAAGAATACAATAATATTACTAAAAGAGAACTATAGCTAGAATATTGCATTAGCCAACTATTTGATATTATATCCTTTACATAAATATAACTAGCACAATCTCAATATATTTACCTTACACTTCACAACAATAACTACAAATGTTTCATTTTAAATAACTATACTACAACCTCAAACCATTCTAGAGAATCAAGTGCAGAAACAATAATTCTTATCAATTAGTTACTTACAATATATATTTATAATATACAAACTCTTGATGGTACTGCTATTGCAATTAATCTTTATTTATCATATAAAAACAATATTCAAATTATATCTACATATCTACCAAACAATTTTAATATTAACAAATAAACACAAAACCAAATTATCTTTTGAATTATATAAGCACAAAAACTTAACATTATATTATTAATTATAGAAGACTTTAACCAAAACTTTAACAGGCCATCATGATCTACTTTATATAAATATCTTCTATTATACAATTTTATCTCTTTAGTATACACTTATTATTCCAACACTTCAACCTAAACATGTAATAATCTCTCTAGCCAAATTGATAAAATTTAGATTTTACAACAAATTTTACATACATTTACAACTTCTAATATTATTAATCTATTTGAAATTACAAATAGCAATTCCTATATTATTTATACCAATTTTCAAATACAAACCAAACCAGCCAAACAACACAAAAATACAAATACAAAACATTTAAATATAATTCCATGACTAATGAACTATAGGAGCAATTTTAGCAAAAAAGTTATCAACTTTTATTTTCTCTTACTGAAGTGATAGTTAACCTTCAACACCTTCCTTATAATAGTAACTCAACTAATATTACAACAATTAATACTATCAATCAAAAAATACAAACTATACCACTCCTTACAAACTTACCTATTATACCTCTTACTATAACTAATATCAACTCCAACCAACTTTCTATCATTATTAATACAATAAAAAATTATTGTAAAACACTATATTATACTCATGATTCAGAAAACAAACAGACAATCTCACAACAAATTACATAACATATTCAAACATGTTATAACAATTTACTTCAAATACAACATTTATGATCAACAGTATAATTAATTACCACACAGATTCTGTGCTATTTGATAATATAAAACTTCAGAACTCTATAATTACAGAGCCAAAAGAGATCTGCCAACACATCAAAAACCACTTCACAAACTGAACTAAACATAATTTACACAATTCAGCTCTCTGGGAACAATGAAAAAGTGAATATACTCCAAAAATCAACATACTCTCTCATGGTACAATACACTAACAGACTCTATAACCCAACAGAAAATAATCAGTACAATTAACCTATCACCAAACAAAAAAGCAACAGGACCTACACTCATTTCTAATAAAATGCTCAAATATGTTCACCCACATATTATTAAACTCTTTACAATTCTGTTTAACAAATGTTTAAATAACACAAAAATACCAACTGCTTGGGAACAAAGCAAAATATATCCAATATTCAAAAAACCTACTTTTACAGGCCAACTCAATCACATTAGACCTATAACTCTTCTTAAAAATATATAAAAAATTTTTATCAAAATTATTACTAACAGATTTACTAAAATAATGTTTAAATATTCTATTCTCAATTTACACAACTTTGTTGCATTATTATACTCATCTATATACAATCTTTCCAAATTCTTACAAATATACTTCAAGAAACACAAACACAAAACAAAGAAATCTGGCTTCTTGCTCAGGATATAAGCAAGACATATGACTCTGTACATATTCCATTTCTACTACATGCACTAAACTGAATAAAAATTTCCCAAAACATATCACAACTTATAGTTAATATTTACAACAACCAATATAATTTAGTTATTACAAATATTGGTTTTACATTTATCTATCAGGTGCAAAATGGCATAGACCAAAAAGAAACAATTACATCATTGCTTTGATGTATCTATTATAATCTACTAATAACTTATATTTATCTCAAATTTTATAACTATGGCATGTTAACAACACTAACTCAGACTAAGCATTTACTTATCTATCATATCTTAGTACTTGTCTATATGAATGACATCCTATAGCTAGCTTCTAACAAACAAACCTTTCAACAAATAGTGAAATCAGCTGAATTCTTTTATAACATAGCTAATATTATTGTTAATCCTATCAAATCAATCTTAGCAACAAATCAAACTACAGATCCAAACCCTATAATCAACTTTGCCAATACAACTATATATACTATACCTCTAAAGCATATCTTTTATTATTTTGAGTGCTGGTTTACACTTCTGAATCACCATAAGCACATTTATAACCAAATTACTACTGAAGCTATTAATCTTATCAATATTATAAAAAATAAAAAGATTACTGAAAAACAAACAATCTATATAATAAATATGGTACTTGTATCTTGCTTTTCTTACAGAACTATAAACATATTCATGCACCAATCTACAATGCAAGACATAACTAATTCTTATATTCAAGTTGCAAAACATAAAGCTGAACTTGCTTTAACAATACCAAACCTAACCATATTATATTATCAAATCTATAATCTTTATAGTTTACCAAATATACAAATACAAAGCTACATATTATTACTTCACATACAACTAAACAATTCTTTAACAGCTTTATTTATCAAAATTCAATATTTTCAAAATACTACATTTTCATCTAACAATATTTTGCTTTCATCTAATTACATATTACCTATCAAGTTTTATAATACACTTACAGCTTAAACAATTAAAGCAGCACATTAGCTCAATATTCAAATTTGTAATTATCCTAATCCTTAGTCTATACTAACTATTTACAAAGGCATCTTAATTGATACACTGATCAAATTTTGCAACAAACTAATACATATCAAATTATTAACTAACAAAGTGAATATATATACCATTGAACAATTCACTAATTACACAAATATACAACTATTTTTATGGCAATGTATCATATATATCGATGTAAACCAAACCTATATGGGACAGTATTGACTTTCTATCTAATTTGGATTTAGGAGTCGATTATTGTCATAATCCCAAACTAAGTTCAAAACCCAAAATCATTGTCTTTTCATAATTGCATATTCCAAACCTGTAAACCAATCAAAGCTGCATTTTTGGTGACTTGATCTTTTACATTTGACAATTAAAAATAAATTTTTAACCTTATATTATTGTACTTAAATGAGCTAGCAAGAAGTAATTATAAATTGTTCTGTTGGGCTTGAAAGTTAAAATGGTTTTTCTATAATTACTAATAAATAATAAATATGCTTCTTTGTAGGTAAACAAATATTTATATCAAAGGTACTAATTCAGTAAGTTTTTATATCTTTAATACTAGTTTGCCATTTTGGTACAAAACTTTTTGTTAGTGATTATTTTTTAGCAACTGCATTAAGGTTTTTAGCTAGTTAGAAGTGTTTTTAAACAATTATAAACTCAATAATTACAAGTTTTGTTTTATAAATTCTTATTATCCTAAAGTTATCTAGCATTTTTTTTGAAGAATATAAGTTTGTAATCATTATGTATATATAGTTTTAAATTTTAATAAAAAATTCATCTACTTTTTGATTCTTGTAATAAATTAATGAAAATCAATTATGAAAAATTCATTTGAAAATGATTCTGATACATCACAGTCTAGTAGAACTATTAAAAAACAAAAAAAAACAAATCTTCAAAAAATTATAGTAAACAAGGGTGAATGTCCAAAAGCTCCTATTTGGAAAGAATTTGATACTGGAAAATCTAATAGTAAAGGTTATTTTTGTGCAAAGTGTCAATACTGTACTAAGGGAAAATGGCAATGGTGAAAGTTTGCAGCTTTGGAAGCATATCTAGCTTTATATTGTAAAGGTGAAGTTCCTAACAACATAAGGCAGCATTGGTTAATTCAAGTAGCAAAACAAAATGACAAAATAAATGATGATAATAATGATAATAAAAGCATGTCATCATCATCATTATCAAAAAAGTCTAAGTTTTTATATTCATATTTCAAACCTATATATAATGAAAGAATCAATAAAATTAACAAAGCATTACTTAACAGGCAAGAGACATTTCCACTTACAAGGGTTCAAAATGTTTTAATTATAGGTCAAATGACTTAATGTACCTTAATTTATATGTAAATTTATGAAAAAAATTTATTTAATCTTGATTTACTTAAAAAAATAAAAAGAAAGTTTTTTTTTT